AACCAGTTTCTATTCCAGTCATGGAAATATCATGGACAATGGTAAAATCAACAGAAAACAGAATTTTCAGTGAAAATAAGACAATTACTGTGGCTGTCTTTGCTCTCGTGAGTGGGAAGCAACAGCAAAAGTATTCTAATTCACACATTCATTTGGGTGCCTTATGTACATAAACAGAATCACTGGGAGGTACATTTGTAGGTTGTTAGTATCACAGTGATAGTAATACTATTATTTGGCAATAAGCCATAACAAAAAGAATTGGGGCGCCCAGAGTTGAGCCATAAATGTAGCTCTCAATGCCCTGGCCACCAACACCAACATGGAAACATACAAGGTAACATAGTTTTCATTATCAGGCAGCAAAATAACAACAAAACCGTACAAACTCAGAAAGTGTAACAAAGTAATTTTAGATACTGTAGCAGGAACCCCCCCACCCCAATCATTCTGCTTGTACAAACTTCACACACACACTCACACACTACATACGCCACATTTCTGTTATAAATTCATAGAAAAATCAACCATACATTGGATTTGCACTGTTCCATTTTTATTTTACTCCATATGACAAGAACTAACAAAAGGGGAGGGGGGTTTGACCCTGGTCAGCCAAAATCCCTTCACTGTCTCAGCACATCTGCAGGAGCGCTGCCCAGATGATCCCAGACAGAAGACAATCAAGACCACAAAGAACTTGCATATGGGAGTGGATTCAGCATGGACTGAAACAAAGGACAATGATCAGATCTTCCCTCAGGGGGCAGGAAACTGCAAACTCCCCTTTGTCTCCTGGAAGTGACTCATGGGGAGGGGAGAAAGGAGGAACCAGCCAGGTGACAAGATACTCAGGTTACCACCAACTCCTCCCTCAACCCCTCCTTTCTGTAATATATGCATGATGTTTCTTGGGGGTGGGCTTGACCTAGAGGAGGGGAATTTCAAAAGTTTTTATAAGACCTTGCACACTATTTTTCTGGGTCTTTCCTCTCATCTGCAAGTGAGGGGAACACCCTGTCGCGACAGTCTTTCTTCAATAAAGACCAGGCCTACAGGCTGCTGATTTGCTTCAATTTGCTCTGGTTGGTGCTTTATTTTTGTCCAAGGGAGCCCTAAGATTTTTCCTGTAACAATACTAAACTCAGGCAAATATTTTTAGTACCACATTGTTTTAAGACCTGTTTCCTGCTTGGTTGGTTTTCTCCTATTCTATAGAAGTAACAAGTCAGCTACTTTTTCGTGGCATTTTGATTGGTTCCAATAAAGCCAACTGTGGAGTTCGGAGGGGATTTCCCCCCTGATGCCAACACTAACTACCTTTTGCTTTTTATATGCTTTGGGGAATACTGAATCCAGACATTCAGAATGGAATCTACATCCAGAAGAAGATGGCTTCTACATCTGAAGATGGATTTTGTAAATATGGAGGGTTGCATTCCCCTCCAGCCACTAGCATGTGCTACACAACTTGGCTTCAATTGACTCTTTTTTCCACCCACCTACCCTCTTCCCCTGGGACGCGGGTGGGGCTGTGGGTTAAACCACAGAGCCTAGGACTTGCCGATCAGAAGGTCGGCGATTCAAATCCCCGTGATGGGGTGAGCTCCCGTTGCTCCGTCCCTGCTCCTGCCAACCTAGCAGTTTGAAAGCACGTCAAAGTGCAAGTAGATAAATAGGTACCGCTCTGGCGGGAAGGTAAACAGCGTTTCTGTGTGTTGCTCTAGTTCGTCAGAAGTGGCTTAGTCATGCTGGCCACATGACCTGGAAGCTGTATGCCGGCTCCCAGGCCAATAAAGCGAGATGAGCGCCGCAACCCCAGAGTCGGGGCTAATTGAGGGTTAATACAGTAGACAGGTAGGATGTATACAATTTTACAATATGCAAAGAATAATATGAGTTGAGAAATCAGAGAGAGGAGCTGAGGGAAGTCTCAGGGGGGAGGGGGAAATAATGAAGATGATTTGTTTTGATAATTTGTTGTTGAAATTGTTAATTTTTTTAAAAAAAAATATTGATAAGAACTATCATTCTCAATAGGCAGTTTTTTGCTATTCCTATCTACACCATGCTCAAAAATCTCCCTTTGATGTAGGTTTGGGTACAAGGAAGTGTTTCTAGTACACACACAGGGGAGGAGATTTGTCTTTGATTTCTAGCACTCCCTGTTCTCTATGGTAAGTGGTACTTTGCTTCTGGAGTAGGGTGCTCACATCCAGAAGTGCGCAGTTTCTGCTTCTCAAGGTTCAAGTGCCATATGTTCCCATCACCTGTTCTTGAATCATAATTAAGATCTGAATGCACAGAAGCAGTTTTCTGTTTGTGTAAGGGCCTTAATAATTAGATATGGGAAAAGCCTAATGATCTGGCCCTGCACGGTGATATCAGAGCTACTGCCTGACTACCAGTTAAGTTTTAACATATCCAGTTAATAGGATCTTTGTTTTAAATTACAGTATAATATTTCAAGCTACGGTGTCTTTAAACATGTTAGATAGGCTAGCATAAACTATATACGGGTGGCTAAAACTAAGGTTACATTTTAGAGGTAATCTACACATTCAGAGAAATCACATGGTGTTGAGAGGAACTATAATATCTCAAACTTGTGAGGGCTAGATTGAGTTCTGCCCCACAAAAGCATCCCTCTACCAGGGAAAAACTGTCCCCACTCCAGGTTGAATTCCTCTCAAGAACTTGCATGCCATTCCCACGCATGTGTCAATTCACCCTAAACTAGGATTGCCGTATTTCAAACAGTGAAAATCTGGACAGAAAAGTTGAGCTTTGGGGCAAAAACTCAAAAAAGGAACAAACCAAAAAAACCCACAATTTTCCAGCTAGTTTTATGGGAAAACAATAAAAATGGCACTGCCGACATGGGCTTCCATACCCCTGGATTTTCCTGGATATTTGACTGGTTTCTGCCCAGACACTGCTGCCGACTGCAGTATTTTGAGTATGTCCAGGAAAATCTGGACGTACAGCAACCGTACCCTAAACTGGGGAAGAGTTACATTTTATATGTATGCCACCAGAGAACAAGGCATGGTATAAATAAATATATAATATTGATTGCTGGCATCCATCTGTCTCAGGAGACAATGGAAGAGTGCACCATTGGGGGTAAAGTCAAACCATTACAGCGCCTTCTGTGGTTGTTGAGACAGATATGGGAGAGACATGTTTTGTTGCAGCTGGGGCAGGTGAAAGCATCCAGTTTCATGGTTACAGCGGTCATTCCTCCTCTGGTCACTGCTGTGGATACACGACTGACTGTCTCCCAGCCATCCAGTCGAGGGAACTGCCCGCTAACAGCGCCTGTCTTAACTGGATTGAGCTTCAGTTTGTTAACTTTCATTCAGTCCATTACTGAGGCAAGGCATCGATAATTCAAACATCTTCCCAACTCTAGATTAAGCAATGCAAAGTATCTACCACCACCTTCCTGGGGTTGGCATTCATATCTCCAATATGAATTGGGAGCAACAGCCACCTCTTTTGGTGCACGCTTTTGCAGGAGTAATCCCAATTTAAATATAAACTAGTTTACCTAATTTACCTATCCATTCTTAAGGAAATCAGCCCTGAGTGCTCACTGGAAGGACAGATCCTGAAGCGGAGGCTCCAATACTTTGGCCACCTCATGAGAAGAGAAGACTCCCTGGAAAAGACCCTGATGTTGGGAAAGACTGAGGGCACAAGGAGAAGGAGACGGCAGAGGACGAGATGGTGGGATAGTGTTCGCGAAGCTACCAGCATGACTTTGACCAAACTGCGGGAAGACAGGAGTGCCTGGTGTGCTCTGGTCCATGGGGTCACGAAGAGTCGGACACGACTAAACGACTAAACAACAACAGCAACAAATTTACACTGTGGGTTAAACCACAGAGCCTAGGGCTTGCCAATCAGAAGGTCGGCGATTTGAATCCCCGTGATGGGGTGAGCTCCCGTTGCTCGGTCCCAGCTCCTGCCAACCTAGCAGTTTGAAAGCACATCAAAGTGCAAGTAGATAAATAGGTACCGCTCTGGCGGGAAGGTAAACGGCGTTTCCGTGCGCTGCTCTGGTTCGCCAGAAGCGGCTTAGTCATGCTGGCCACATGAACCGGAAGCTGTACACCAGCTCCCTCGGCCAATAAAGTGAGATGAGTGCCACAACCCCAGAGTCGTCCCTTTGTTGTTGTTTAGTCATTTAATCGTGTCCGACTCTTCGTGACCCCATGGACCAGAGCACACCAGGCACTCCTGTCTTCCACTGCCTCCCGCAGTTTGGTCAAACTCATGCTGGTAGCTTCAAGAACACTGTCCAACCATCTCGTCCTCTGTCGTCCCCTTCTCCTTGTGCCCTCCATCTTTTCCAACATCAGGGTCTTTTCCAGGGAGTCTTCTCTTCTCATGAGGTGGCCAAAGTATTGGAGCCTCAGCTTCACGATCTGTCCTTCCAGTGAGCACTCAGGGCTGATTTCCTTAAGAATGGGTAGGTTTGATCTTCTTGCAGTCCATGGGACTCTCCAGAGTCTCCTTACCTTTACCTAATTTACTTGTAGGTAACTAGCTCTGGATTGTGAGCAAATTGCAGGGCCTATTTTCTGTTTTGGCCACCAGTTGCTGTTTTGACCACCATTTTCATTCTAATTCCACCGAGTCCCATCCCTTTGCAAGGAGAAGCCAAGGTTTGGGAGAAATCGACACAGAGAAAGAGAGGGCGGGTGAAGCATCCTTCTGCAAGGTTCACAAGTTCACTGACTCCTGCTCGCGATCCTAACAAAGGTCATGAATGCCAAGTTTGTTGGGGTTACAGTATTCCAAGCAGGTGGCCTTCCTGGGGGAGAGGGAAGCCGAGCGCCCAGAGGTCGCCTCACAGCAGCCCCCTGGGCCCCGCCGAGGCCCTGCCTTCCCGCGCCCACTCGCCCCTCAGAGTCTCCAAGCGGCGGCGCCGGGGGCTTCCCGCCCTCCGCCCCCATCACTGCGCCCAGGACGCATGCGCGCTCCGGAGGGCGGGGCTGAAGCCGGGAGCTCGGCGCGGCAGCGGCAACAGCAGCGTCTGACACAGCCGCGCATCCGCCTCCTTCCCTCCCTGCCGGCTCAGGGAGACCAAGCGGCCGAGCGCTGCTCCGACACCCTCGCCAGCCCCGGCCCGGCTCGGCCTAGTTGATTAACCGCAGCGCCGAAATTGCCTACCTCTGGCTCCCGGCTCCTTGTTTCAGAGGAGAGGGATTTCCCTCAGCTTCGCCTCATCCCTTCCTTCCTCCTCATCTCTCCGTTATCCCCTCCCTCCCTCCCTCTGCTGACCCAGCGCGCCCATTTTCTCGCTCGGCTTTTCCTCCATTCGCATCCCTCACCATGAGGCTGAAGGGCCGGGGATGCTGCGCCCCGGGCGGAGGCAACGGAGGAGGCGGCGGCGGGGAGGAGGAGAAGCAGCCACAGCAGCCGCCCGGGCCGGCCCCTCCGCCGGTGCGGAGCCCCTTCGCGCACCACCTGCGCTTCAGCGCCCTGCAGAAAGCCAAGGTGGGTGTGCGCGCGCGCGCGCGCTCAGCGGGGCATGTCTTCTGTCTGGAGGCGAAAGGGGCTGAGGAAACCGCCGCCCGGAGACATAGATAGGGGAGTGCGCGCGCGCGCGGCTCTTCCTCTCCACCCCCCCCCCAATAAAGCATGTGTGTGTGTATCTGCTCCCGCGCGCGCCCGCGAGACAAGACCCGCTTGTATACACGCGACGAGGGGGGTTGTATTGCACAACGTGTGGAGACGCCGAGTTGCGCGCCCGGCGGAGGGGAAGGAATGAGGGGCTGGCGCTTTTGCGTGAGACGCTGCAAGCAAATCGCACCAGTTCTGGTCTCCTAACCGCTAACGCAAATGGTCTTGAAGTCCTCCTCCTCCTCCTCTCCATCATCAGGCGTGCGCCCGAGGAGGCCTTTCCTTCACCTCTCCGCTTTCTTTCAGCCTCATACCATCTTCCTGATGCTTCTCAGTACAACAGGTGCCTAAAGCCCCGAGGCCTGATTTTTTTATTTTTATTTTTTGGCCTGGCCTCCCTTGCAGAGCCAAAAGATTGCAGTAAACTGGCACCCTCGACTCTCTCAGGCATACCTAGCAAGGGTGGATCTAGGGAAACTGGACAGTCACACTGGACAGCAGAGCTTGTGAGGTGCCACAGCAGTTGCCACAACTATGAAGTCCAACAGAAGGGGCGTGCGTCGGATTATGGTATCACACGGAGCATCACTGATATTTGAGGCGCCCAGGTCCGCCGCTGTATGCAGTGCCCTTTGCACGCATATGGGGGGTCACTTTACCACAATAGCCGTATTAGAAATTACTATGTTTTACAACTACTCCAAGTGTCCGGAGTGAGGGCGGCGAGGTGAGGAGGAAGGGTGATAAAAAATTTGCACGCCTTTGTGTGAGAAAGATGGGAAGCTTCTGTGTTCGATAACGCCATGACAGCAGCGGCACATCACCACAAACATATACAGTGGTACCTCTGGTTACGTACTTAATTCGTTCCGGAGGTCTGTTCTTAACCTGAAAATGTTCTTAACCTGAAGCACCACTTTAGCTAATGGGGCCTCCTGCTGCTGCCACGCCGCCGCTGCACGATTTCTGTTCTCATCCTGAAGCAAAGTTCTTAACCCGAGGTACTATTTCTGGGTTAGTGGAGTCTGTAACCTGAAACGTATGTAACCCGAGGTACCACTGTACGCTTCATAGCGTGGCAGGTGATTTCTGCAGCCCCCCTGGGCCTGGGTCCCAGCGGGACCGATTTCACCAACCCCTGGGTACACCTCTGCCCCCTCTATAGGCAAGTGCTTCCCATGGCCTCCCATGGCCTTTTCCCAAGGAAGAGCTGGTAGGAAGTGCCTTAAGTTGTGGCTACTTCTTGAAGGTACTCAGAGTGCTTTCTTCCAGTGGCATCCAACGCTTCCTTGTCTGCCTTAATTGGTCTGGAGTGGGAAAGACAGATAGTGGGAAGTTTGCCTGTGTGGCTAGGCAATTCAGGCACCTTGGGCAATGTGGCTGCCCGGTGCCAAATAAGCCCCAGACTCCCTCCAACCTTTAGAGCTGAAGAGGTGGGGCAGGGATTGTCATGCAGTTACTAAGACAGTCGTCCACCTTTGCAAGTTCACGCCTTGGGAGGAAGACTGGACAGCACCATGCTTTGTCATAGTGAATGTGGCAAGTGGGAATTGCTGAAGCCTGCTAAAGCCCACTCCTAACCAAGGTTCTCAGAAATAAGGCTCATTCATTTTCAGCACAGCTGATTTGTAAGCATGCTTAGAATCGCAAAGTAGTCCAAAAGCAATCCTGGAGTTGGGACTCAAGAGAGGCTCTGGTGTTCTTCACACCTCCTATTCCTTGTTTGTATGATGAGAAAGACCATCTCGTGTCTTCTCATTTGTGTCAAGGAAATAAAGAACTATCTGCCTTTTAGAAGACATCTTCAGGGAAGTTTTTAATGTTTGAAGTTTTATTCTGTTTTTAGTCTTCTGTTGGGAGCCGCCCAGAGTGGCTGGGGAAACCCAGCCAGATGGGCAGGGTATAGTGTTGTTATTTGTAATAGGGACTGTATTAGTGTCCAGCCCCAGCCTCACTTTAGTGCCCTTAATTTTCCTGTACTGTCCAAGAACAGAGACATGAGGTTTGATAAATTCTCCTCGCTTTATTGAGGTGCCCATATCAGAATCTTCCCTGGGCCATATATGGCTTTAAAATGAAATATGATATCTAGCCACCATAAATCATAGTCATATCTGATCTTAAAAGTTTTTGTTACATTGGAACAAATTGGCCTCATTTAGATTCTAGTCTTCTGTCCATAATACCTAGCACTAGATGTTCAGAGAATGTGCACAATAAGCTCAGGAGAAGTTATGGTATTCTACTGTGCCAGAACATTAGTAGAATACCAGTGCTGAAAAGAATTCCCCCATAAGGATAGCACCCAAACTTACTTTTTCTCACCTCATGGGACCAATATTTTGGCAGTCCTCAGATGCTAGGCATCTCAGTGATATGTTGGCATGGGGTTCCTCACCCCTCTTCTAATCAGCGTTTGTGCTATGCACACTGATTCCCACTTTCTGCAAGCCAGTTGTTGTGACTGCTGTTTTTACCCATATTCCACTTGCAGGGGGGACGCGGGTGGCACTGTGGGTTAAACCCCAGAGGCTAGGACTTGCCGATCAGAAGGTTGGCGGTTTGAAGCCCCGCGACGGGGTGAGCTCCCGTTGCTCGGTCCCTGCTCCTGCCAACCTAGCAGTTCAAAAGCACGTCAAAGTGCAAGTAGATAAATAGGAACCACTCCGGCGGGAAGGTAAACGGCGTTTCCGTGCGCTGCTCTGGTACACCAGAAGCGGCTTAGTCATGCTGGCCACGTGACCCGGAAGCTGTCTGCAGACAAACGCTGGCTCCCTTGGCCCATAGAGCGAGATGAGCGCCGCAACCCCAGAGTCGGTCACGACTGGACCTAATGGTCAGGGGTACCTTTACCTTTACCACTTGCAGAAAGAACAGCAAAGTCCATACAGTTATACTATGCAAACTTTCCTGCAACCTAGTTCTTTTTCTTAGGCACTGTTTCCCACACTTCCAGATGAATGATGAAAAATGGTAGTGCAGAAGTGAACATGGAGAGGAAAGAATTGTCCAGTATCACTTTATTCGTAGGCATTTGCTTTCCTATGACCAGAGGATGCACTTTTAAACTTTGGTAGTATGTTGCATCAGGCATCTTTCATAATCATGTCTAACTATGTTTTGAACACACACACACAGTGCAACCACTTTTTTTGGAAATAACCATGAATGACACTGGAAAGCATTATATAGACTATTTTTTATCTCTTGTGGCAGTGAATTTTGTACGCTAACGTTGTATTGCATGAAAATGTAACTTCCTCCCATCTTAAACTGCTTTAAATTTCCTTAAGTATTCCTTAGTTTATTGTCGGATGGAGAAAACTTGAGCAATAGCCCTCTATTCACATTTTCCTTGATTCTTGGCTATGCTTCTTTCATTAGTGCTTTTTTCCATTGATTTGTGTGGGGGGGGGTTTAAAAAAAGAAGCTTGCTTGAAAGATACAAAGTCTTATCTTTCTGTGATAATCTGTGATATCTTTCTAATTCTGCTGGAAGGCAGCAAGAATTACACATGAAATTTAAAGGTTTGTCGTCAGTAGGAACGCTCTGGCAATTGCTCTGACAACTTCTCATGTGGGCTAGGAAAGAGGTGACTAACCTGTGTCCCTCCTTATATTGCTAGGCTCAGGCTCCCATCAGCTCCAGCCAGCTTGCATGGTCAGGGATAGGGGGGAATTGTACTTCTGCAACATCTGGAAGGCCAGAGATTAGTCACTCTGGACTAGGGCAAGAAGAGGATGGCAATTAGCAGACTAAGTCACAACATAAATGAGTGAAGCCTCCCCCCCCCCCCGCCACATGTGCTGGAGGTCTGGGCCATGGATGCAAGCAGCAACAAAAATATCTGGTTAATACGCCAGGTGAAAACTTATGGACCTCTGTGAATGCCCCAGTTTTGGTTTCCAACAGGCATCCAGTTGGCCATCATGAAACCAACAGGCTGTTCTTATGTTCTTATAGAACCACTGTATTTTCTGTGTTACACCATAATCCACGCTAGAGAAGTGTAAGCAGAACTCTACTCATATAGCAGTGCCTTCTCCCGTCTCCACCCCTACTGTAGCCTTCTGAGCCCCCTGAAAAGCTGCTCTTGAGGGCTAGGGGCACTCTCCCAAATTTCATGCAATGATGAGTCCACAGTAATGGAGGCGGGGAACAAGTGGAAATTAGGGTCCTCTCTTCTGCCCCCTTCCCAGTTGCCTAACCAATGTTTAAGAATTATGTGTTTTGCAAACTATTGTTTACTGTGTATAATGTTATTTAAACCACCCTGTCTTCGACTGAATTGATTTCCTGATTGTAGAACAGGAATTCTCAGAATATCTATAGAGGCAGGATGCATTGATATAAATCACTAAGGAGAAGCATGGTTTAAACCAGGTTTCCCATTGCAACTTCATGTGGTTTCTAAACTGTTATGCATACTAATTGGTTAATAGATTTTGGCTGGCATCCGTCTGTCTCAGGAGATAATGGAGAAGTGCATCATTGATATTGAAAGTACATTTATGTACCACTCTGCAAAGTGTTTATATTATCTGGGAATGTATGTTTTGTATATGTGTGCACACACACACACAAACAAACGCGGGGCCATTTTTCTTGCAGCTGCCATGGTCTGAAACAAGCAGTGTACTGGTACATGCTGCTCAGTCAAGCCCACTTGGCTGTTCAGTTTCTAGAGCTGGGAAGCTGGTTTAGCATTACATACAAACTAGCGTTCATGGTTTGTTCCTCTCAAGCAAACCATGAGTGGAGAATCCAGGGTCTAGAAGACAACTTTAAACCATGTTTTTACATTCTGACTTCCTTGGAAGCTATTAACCAGATTCCCAGTTCAATATAAGCTATGGTTGACTTCTCCCACACT